TAAGCACATCACACAACGATATTCCATAGCACAAATGTCTTTGTTCAGGCAGGATCGCTCCCCTTTACTCCAGCATGTCAGTGTCACTAGCATAAGGAACCCCAGGACAGAGCGTCTCAATACCAGTGGAAGTGTATGGTTGCAGCAGATGGAGGAAGGCATGGGAATTGCCAAGAATGCACCTGTGGTGGAATGTGTTCTTCGCAAATGTCTGTCTCACAGTGTGGAACACCTCTTCCCCTCTCAGATTCCAATGAGCAGTGACATCAAATAGGCTCCAAGCCTTTCTTCTGCTAGCAAGTGGTGAGGAGTCTGCCATCACTAAAAGCTGGTAAAGAATAGCAATCCTATGATGAGTCATTTTGTGGAAAATGTATCTGTTATAAACTTGGAATTTTGAATAGGGAGTAGGTTAGATGTATGCTTCACCCTTATGAATCTCAGGAAATGGAACTGTGATACAGTGTAATGAACCACATGCTGGACGTGTGCAAAGCACAGCAGGAGCTCAAAAGATCATAGGTTGGCTACCCCAAGCCTCTTCAAACTCCCATTGATTGATGCCTGTAACCCTAGTTTTGGGGAGATTGAGGTAAGAAGATTGCCATGAACTCATGGCTGCCTGGGTATGTAACAAGAACTGTTCTCGAAATGAAAACAAAAAGAAATCTAAGAGCCCTTTTTGTCTTCCCAGATCATTCTTCACAGGAATTTGCATATCGTTTTTAAGAATACCGAATGGCATTAAATGAAAGGCTCATTCTGCATCTCCCAGTCCTCCTCTTTGGAGATTTTACTCAGCGGCTCTTAGGTACCTATTTGGTGGGTTCTCTTCACCCTCATTCTGAATAACATGCTTTTACTTCCTTCTTTCTGTGGTTACTTAAACTTGGCTGAAACCTAACCACAGCTCGATCACGCAGTGACACATCCAACTTCTACATGACTCCTCATGTCCCTCTACTCCTTGCCTTTATTCAGTATAATTCTTTATTTGTCTATGCTGTAGGCCAGGTTAATCCACAGCAACCTCCTGCTTCGTTACAGATGTGAGACGCATACCAGGCAGGCTCCCATTCCTTCATTGTCAGGGATTCCTTCATTGTTGGTTAACTGCTTTGGTTTTAATTTGTCATTCAATCTGACAATTTATTATAATTTACTATTTGGTGCTTTAGATACAACTTGATTCTAAAAAAAACAAACAAAAACTCTCCAGAAACCAAAATGGTGGCTCCTTCCTTATCACTTGATTGCTTAGGAGAATGAGGCAAGGAAGCCAACTTGGGTTACAGTGTAAGACCTTGTCTCAAAAAAAAAAAAAAAAAAAAAAAAAGCGAGGGGCGGGGACACGGGGGA